GAGGAGGAGGAGGAGGAGGAGGAGGAAATCCTCCAACAGAACAGGGTACCAGCCTAGCTCACAAGATTGTTTAAAGATAATGAGGGAAAACCCCATGTACATCACCTTGAGCTCCTACAGAAAAAGCAGGATATAATTGTAATATTACATACATACATACATACATACATACATACTGTACTTAAAACACATATGTGAGAGACAATAAGGCAGTAGGCTGCCAAGAATGCAAGTTATTGTTTTTTGCTGATTTTACTCTCTCATTTTGGCAAACCAAGGTCCAAACTGAGTAGTGTGGCTGGGTAAGTTGTATATTACTAGTTGGTCTATCAACTTCAGAATTACAAAGGGACACTTTTCCTTTTCCAACTGTCCCTGCAGTGTACCAGGAAAAGCCATCTGGATGAAACTTCTGTCTCTCTCTTGCAGGTCCTCTTCCTGAAGCAGCAGAATAAAGGTAAAGCTTTCCCCTTTCTCATTTTAATTCCATAAAAAAGACACCCTCAATAATAAATCAATGTTCTCAAGTGTTCGTAAAAAGCCAGCCCCCTAATCAGCTTAATATTTTAGATGCAATAGCACTGTAACATAACTCTTGCAAGTAAATGACCCATCAACTATTGGACAATCCAGAAATTAGCTCCAAACTTTACTGGGCCAAGTATTTAGACTGACCTTCTTGGAAATTGAGCAAATCAGGTTGACCATCCACTGCGTTACTCTTTAGTCATTGTCCACAGCGTTGGGATCTTCAGTGTGGCAACCACCGGCAACAATATGTTTGTGAACTCCCCACCCCCATGCTTTGGCATCCCACAAGCCCTTTCCACACTCTTATCTTTTATTATTTTAAAGTATCATTTTGCTTGCAAAGAAAAATATTAGAAAAGAATCCGGCATGCTTCAAAGCACCACCTTCTCCACACTCAATTTGATTTCCATGATTTAAGATGAGAAACAAGAACCATTACTTTTTGGAAAATAAAAAATAATAGGTTGCTGCAACTGGTGCTGTGGCAAAGAGAGACAGATGCCTTCGCCAAAAATGAAAGAGAGGTAAGATGGGGCTGATAGTGAATATCACAGAGGTGCCCAATAGTGTGGCAGGGAGCAACCTCACCAGTCTGGGGTTTTGTGTTTGGCTTTACCATTACGGCAGCCAATTTATGAACAGACATTTCCTACCCCCCCCCCCCGCCAAAAAATACTGGGGAAACCTGACTTAGGGAAGTCAGTTACTTACTTTTTCAGTTGCTTTGATGAAAACTCAAAGGCAATGCAGTTTACACAAAGCCATGAGTTTTGACTGATGGAGCGCTTTTCCTTTCCAGAAAAAGATAACAATGTGGATGACTGCAAGAGGTCAGTGACAAAAGCAAACCTACCACTGAAGAGGTGAATCCCTGAGAAACAGCAGCCATGAGTATTTTTTTTCCTTCTCTCTTTTTTAAGGTCGAAGGAAAAACTTCTGTCTGAAATTGGGACTCTCTTGACTGAAATTGCATTTCTGAAGGACGTGCGAGAACAACTGGTGAGATTTTTTTTTAATCAAGGTGCCCACAGGTCTTGAATTTATGTCTTGTATTCTTCATTTATGTCTCAAGTTTGTAAAATATCTATTGGGAGAATCCTGGGATGACATAATTATACTCACTAACCCCATCTGTATTGTCCCTGAAAAGAAAATCTGAAAGTCTATGTTCTAGGGGATGAACCTACCCAGGAGTCACTCTTTTGAGGTCCATAGGCAGTTTTGAGAAAGTATACTAAATGACATTGCAAAAGGATTGCCATGAACCTACCCATTCAAAAATAGCTTTTGAGGTAATCATAAATATTCTCAAAACACCATGTTCGTAGGCATCCATCTGGGGGGAGGGAGGCAGGAAGCACCATGGAACAACACATTTGTCATGATATCATGGCCCCAAAACTGTGACTTAATACTTGGGATAGATGCCAGGATACAAGTGTGTAAGGGCAGGGTTTTCTGTATGATGTGACCATCTACATGTCATCATTATGACATAATCTTGGCTCACTCTAGATGCCTGTGAGCATCTCACAGAAAGCCAGTCTGTGAGGCTGAGAAGCAAATAACTTGCTAAAGGATCTGATTCCAAGGCAGATGCTCAAAACCATTAATTGCACCCCAGTTTTTTGCTTCAACAAGTGATATGGCTCACATAATTCAAACTTCCTTGGTCTCCTACTTAACACAACTGCTCCAAACTTTCTTTCTTTGCCCCAGAGCACATTATACAAACCCAAAGAAAGGTGCATAGACATTGAGGCCTACCTCATGCAAAGAAATTATAGTTCTGCAGCTTGGCACACACATTACCCTCCCTCTCTCTCTCCCTCAGGGTGTTTTGCAAACACAGGAATTTTTTTTTTTTTTTTTAAATTTTCGCATCTCTGCTTCAGGAGGGACACACAAGCACATCTCTCTTGTCCTTTCTCTGGAGGTTGAGTCATGGCAACTGGACTTCTTTTCTTTTGGTCTGATATGTTTCGCTGCTTGTCCAAGCAGCTTCTTCAGTCTAGAAAGTTGGTTGGGGGGGCCCTAACCAACTTTCTAGACTGAAGAAGCTGCTTGGACAAGCAGCGAAACATATCAGACCAAAAGAAAAGAAGTCCAGTTGCCATGACTCAACCTCCAGGTAATTCCACCCGGATGACTGAGAATCTTCATCAACTCTTGTCCTTTCCTTTTTGAGAGCGGTAGCTGATTCCTTGCTATATCCCAGCCTCCATCTCAGCGGATTGGGTACACTCTGGAGGAATGGCAGGGGGTGGGGTGAGGAATGTGCTCTCAATGGAGGAGGGCTTGCATACTCAACAGTTTGTAGAATGGAAGAGTTCAGTAACACAGAAAGACTCAGAGGGACACACACACCTTCACACATGCACACTTAGCCCAGAGAGAAAAGAAATTACAGAAAGACCCACTTTCCCCACAGCCCACCTGTCCCATGTTCAGTCCTCATCTCACATGGCACTGTTTGCTCTCTTCTGAATCCCAGGGTCCATTTTCCACCATCTCCCCTATTCCATATTGCTGGGTGGTATCTGCAGTTCCTCCCCTAAATCCCTGATCCTGGTGCTCAATTTAAACACAGTTAAAAGGGGACCTTTTCCTGGTCAGCATGAAAGGAATGATGTGTGGCAAAGAATCGCAGACAGAATACACCACTTTGTGTCAGATTTGGGAGGTGTAAAATGAACCATGCTGGTTTTGACCAGAAAATTCATAATTTAAAAAGAATTCACTCCCCAAATTCCTCCCCTCTCCAAAGCAATTATTTAATTACCCCCACCCCAACAATAACCTTGAACTTGGAGGATTTTTTTTTAGTTCCCATAAATTTCAGTCATTAGATTAGTTCATAAATTCAGCTGAAACCTAGGTGAAATACAGGGCAGAGTCAACGCGGAGGAGAAAAATAAAGATACGGTGGGGATCAAGTGGATTCAGCATGGTTATGTAGGCATAACTGAAGGCTGTCTGCCATAAAGCTGAGTATTTCTCGCCTGTGTTGAAAGTGTCCAGCATAAGCTCCCCATATTTGCTTCATAAGCTTGTTTTAGACTTGAAAGGGAAGAAAACACCGCCCTTAGTTGAAGGGTGTCTTCTCCTGAGTTCTTTGCTCTTGTGCTTCTTCTCAGAGGTTTAAGGACCCTGAATCCAAGAAAGAAACTACTAAGGCCCTTACTGAAACCATCCAGGCCAAGCTGGAAGTGGCCCACGCTAAAATAGAGGCTGCAGAGGCTAAGAAAGAAACCTTAGAAGCTCAGAGGAAAGCTGACGAAGCTAAAGAATCAGTGGAAGCGGCGCAGGCTCGGGAGGACAACCTGCTGTCCTATGTCTCCAAAATTGCCAGTTTGGCCTACCAGCAAGCTGCGGAGGCCGAATATGATTGTGCCCAAGCTCGGAAAGCCATAGCCGTAGCGGAGGCCATCCAAGTGGCTGCCTTCACTGATGGCAGAGCTCGCCGGAACCACAAGGAGAAGCATCATCGAAACCATCGGAGTCATGGGGAATGCCGGTGTCACCATCACCACCACCACCATCATGGCCACCACGAGCGCCAGAGTGATTACGAGACCCAAAGTGATCTCATCCACTCTGAACCGGAGACTCTGAGCAGCACCCGATAAGTCAGGCAGGAAGAAAGCAGGGCTGGGCGGGGTGGCTTGATAGTTAATGTCATTTGAGGAAGCGTGCAGAATTAAAATGTTTGTTTGGACCATAGACAACTGATTCATTTTATCCTGTAGTCCTTCCCCACTTCACACAGTTTGCATTAGTGCCTTCTGGCTGGCAGAGACTCTCCTTCTGGAATATGCTGCTGTTATATCGTTGCATCCATTCCCTATACTTTCAACCTTCTTTGAAACCCTTTTCAGACCTACTGAATGCATGGTGGCAGGATTACATGCCTCCCTATATATTAAGTCAATGTTTCTCAACCTTGGCAACTTTGAGATATCTCGACTTCAACTCCCAGAATTCCCCATGCTGGCTGGGGAATTCTGGGAGTTGAAGTCGACATATCTTAAAGTTGCCGAGGTTGAGAAACGCTGTATTAAGTTGTACTAAAAGGTGCTTCTTTTTTCAGATTTTATAATGAACATGTAGAGATCAAGCAGTCATGCTCCCTCTCCATGTATGAATGTCTGTAATGGTTTTTATAAATAGGTAGTATATGTATGTCTATATTATTATTATTATTTATTTAAATTTATTGGCCAGTGGACTCCAGTGGACTATATGGAATGACTTGATTCTTCACCGGCCTGCTCTCAGTTTTTTTTTAAAAAAAGAATAATGTAAATATTTTTTTAAATAGTTCAGAATTTAAAGACTCTTTTAAGTTCCGAACTGCTAGACTATAGTCTGAAACACACACTGAGACTGTAAAAATCCACGATTTTGCATTGCAACACAAAAACGATCTTGATTTTTAAAAAATGCAAAACTCACCCTGTGAATATTTCCAAACTTTCGGTCTCCCTGAGGAACGAAGGGTGCAAAAGTGCTTATAAAACCCAAGGCCTTGTTTTGCTCTGCATTTCATAAAGCATCAGTTGTTTATTTTAACAAAAGGCCATATCTCCCAGCCAAAAAGCGCTCAGTCCTCCTCTAATTAAGACTGGTTTTCTTAAAACATGAGTTCAATCCTCAATTTGTGCTTCAGGGTTTGGGCTGCTGGTGGTGTTTGTTTGTGCCAACAATTGCTTGGTTGAGGCTTCTCCCTCCAGATCTGAAGGAGCAGAGAATGAAAGATTACATCTTGAAACCCATTTAAGTTTAGTGTGCAGCAAGTGGAGATGTTCAGGAGGAAAATATTTATTTTATGTTATTTATGCAATTTCTATAGCCGCCCACCTCAATCCAGTTTCGAAAGCAGAACTAAGCCTTGCAACATCAATCACTAGCAAATAACTGCAGAGCAACGGAGGAGAAGGAACTGCATCAGATAAATGATCTCTCTTCTCCTCCTGCTTCTTTTCCTGCACAAACCCAATTCACTTCCCTTGCACTGGACACCTTGGCTGTACTATAGGAAGAAAGGTTAGGGAAAAGGTATAGACAGAGATATATACCTTCTCCACATATTACTCTGCTTTAAAGTGCTTTCTTAACCTGTTGCAGGAAAGGTTCAAGTTGATAAAAATAGAGATCATTTGGAGGGAGACCAGAGCTGGTGGTCGAACAGAATGGAACGGAAGGTCAAGGAAAAACCAACAGTTCCAATTTATGGAAGTCTCTACTGGGAAAAATCTTGAAAACCTGAGCAGATAGCTGACAAAAACAGAGCCCAGCATTAGAAAGCTTCAAGAAAAATATGACTAGAAGGAACTTAAGCAAGGAGTTTGCTGTAAGGGATTGCTGGAGTGAAAGTGAAAAGCCACCGAGAATTTCAGTTATTTCTGGAAGTGCAACACACAATTAACTCCGGAATTGTATTTTTAAAACAATCTCCTTCTTCAATTTGAAAAGAAATACTTTATTCATTGAATTAAGCAGTTTGCCTAATAAACCTCTTCTGTTTATAACTTTGTATCAAATAGCAGTATTAGTCTGAGGCCTAGGCTGGAGGAACCAGCCTGTTGAGTTTCTATAGCACAGTGTTTCTTAGTCTTGGCAGTTTGAAGACGTCTGGACTTCAACTCCCAGAATTCCCCAGCCAGAATTCTGGGAGTTGAAGTCCACACATCTTCAAGCCGCCAAGGTTGAGAAACACTGCTATAGAGTACACTGTGGGCAGCAATTACAGATTTCATAGTACAGCGAGATCTTAAACAACACAGCAGAAAGTTTAAAACAACTAAGCTTCAACATTTTAAAAAGGTAAACAGTAGAATAACTCTATATATTCTATAACAGTAGAATAACTCTCTCTTAGCTACACATGCCTAAGGCTGACTTTTGCAAATATCTTGCAAGGGTTGAACAGGCTTTTCTGTTTCAAAACTTCAAATTGCCGAATCATCACTTTCTGCTTTATAACCTATTTTGAAAGATTTGGGAAGAAGGATTGCATGAGAATGTGTCTGAGGAACCAATGTTCTGAGATTAGTTGAATGCATGCAAACTTGAAAAAAAATGAATGAGGGACTCAAGTGCAAGGGGCAAAGTTTGTTATTAAATGTGACAGGTTAATCCCTACTCTAGGTATGGACAACTGTGGAAAATGACATCTGGAAGTCCACTGGCCACTGACACAGCGTTGAGCCCACATACACTGCCATTGTATCAAAAATATCATGCAATCCCCAATATATGCCCTACCAGCATGATCTGCCCTGTTTTTTCCCCTGGCAAAAGAATTGTACATTTCAGCATGTACATAAACACCAAGGATTCTATCCCAGTGTTTTATATTACCGTAGAGCTCTTACTGTTTTGCTAAGTACTGCACTGTTTCACATGCAGCCCCCTCCTATCCAGTATAGATTTGTAAAAGGAAGAACAGAACTTTTTTGTTGTGCAACACGGAGAAATACAGAACAACACAAATACCTTTATTATTAAGAAAGCAACAATCATCAGCTGGCTAAGCAAACAGGTTATTATGTCTGTAGCTGCTCAGCTTCTCCCTGTCAAGCACGTTTTCAGCTGGGGAGTGGTTATGCTGGTTTGATGGCCGCATCGTACATAGCCTGCAATAATATGATCAGCAACCTTTGATATTCAAAATCTATGTCATGATAGCAGTTCTACCGCACATGGAAGGCTTACATAGCTTGGCTTCCCATAACTTCATTGTATATGTTAGGAAAGGTGGAGGATACAAGTCGGAAAAGGATGAAATAGAGCCTCCCCTGGTAGGGTTACAGGCTGGATGGAAAAATTACTGTAGTTTCTACTGTAGCTCCTGAGACATATAAAGGCAGAAGTATGGTGGCTCCTTTCTGACAGCACTGGCAGTAAGAAAGCAGGGCATCTGCTAGTCCTGGCAACCTCTGAGGTCCCATAGTTTCTTCTCCAGCAGGTCCTCTGTTCACTCCTTGGTTGCTAGATTTGTCCTATCACTGCCTCAAGCACTTCACTCCAGCATCCTCAGCATGCCCACAGTTTGTTTTTCCCCAGCTGGAAAAGCTACATTGGAGCAGACTGTCTTCTGTTCCCTTGCAGGCCACATCATCCATCCAAATCCGTCCTTTCCCTGGGAGAAGAATTGAACAGAATCATTCGCTGGAATTCACAGTGACAACAATTAATGATCTTCCATCTTTGCGACATATTGCAATCGCTATGAGAACATTCACCATCTACAAAACCTAGGTCATAGCAGTGCGTACCCTGATGAATATGGCCAGGGGTGCATACTGTTTCTGGACCAGGGACTGACATTCATGCTTGAATGACATGTTTTTCACAAAGTACCTGGGGCCAGAGCAGAGGATAGAGAGGGATCCAGGAAAAAAGATCAATGGATTTAATGTAAATACAATCAATATGATCACTCTGCATGTATTTGACACATTTTCCCCTCTTTCACATGAGAAATTACAATCGGATAATAACTTCTGTAGAGCTCTGTAGTAACCGTATTCAAAGTTTTGCAGGAGTGGGGGAATTCAGATTACAGTATATACCTCTGGATCTTAGGGAACTTATAATGTTGCCCAGCTCACAGAAATGTCAGAATCATGTTCAGAATCAGCCTGCCCCAAGAGAAGAAGACCACCAAATTTTTGCACAAATTCCATTTGAACTGGTAGCTCCCACTTAGCTAGCTACTGTATATACCGGAAGAAAATTGCAGATCATGAAAAGAGAATTGCTAAGTGGAATCTCATGTTTTACATAAAGCAAAAATCCGGACATGCTACAAATGTCGGTAAAGCTCCGCAATTTAATTAAATCAAAGAAACAATGGCAAACACACCCCCCCCATGTATGTGCCATATTTTGAGGACGCCTAAGTCACTCAAATGTGAATTAATTCATTTCAGATGTCTGATTATTAGATAGCACATAAATGTCCTTATATATATTAAAATGGCAAATCCAAAAACATACATGTTTAACATTCTGCTCCCTTTGAGAATAAGAAGTATCTTGCAAGACAAAAAGAAGAGAAAGAAATACACTTCTATGTCACCATCAATATTCCTTATACATTTATCTATAAATACATTAAACAACCAAGAGGACATCATACTTCTTTGCCTCCCTGCTCAATGATGAATCATTTGCTCAGCACTGCATTTATTCTGACACATACTGTTCTTTCATCATACACGGTTCTTGTTGCATTCAGCAACTAAACTTCAACTCTATGTTCTCACAAAATATTCCGTAATTCTAGTTTATTCATTTCTATCATCCATTTTCTCTAAACCAGTGTTTCTCAACCTTGGCCACTTTAAGATGTGTGGACTTCATTAACCAACCAATA